TCCCACCTCCTATTGTAAAGTCAAAGAAACCAGTTTAATCATTTCTAAGACAATTCATCAGGCAGTACCAACACAAAGTTCTGCAAACAAAGCCAGAGTGTCACTAATGCCAGGAGACTCCAACCTCAAAATCACATTCTCCATTCACCTCAGAGTTTTAATGTCAGATTTAGGCTTAATTGTCTCCTGGGAACCATTATAAAACACACTAAAAATAGAAATCATATTTCACATAGCCGTGGAAGAAGATATTGCCATTACTCTCAAGAAAGCTACTATCACGTAAGGCTCCTCAGCCTATGACCTGCACTTTAGGGAAGAGAGTGCGACTCCTGTTCTCCAATCCACCACGGCCACTCCACCTCAGGCCTCTACATGCACTGCTCCTTCCACCGGGCTCCTCCTAAGCTGCAAATCTAGTTTCCTCACTTTCTTGAGGTCTTTACTCAGAACTCATTTCACTGAGGGCTGTTAGGGAACACCCTATGTCAAATTCCTTTTCCTGACATTTCATGTCCCTTTTCATGTTTTTTCCCTCCTTAACATTTAGCAATATCTGATGTGGTATCAAGATAGACCATCAGAACATCTGAGGGCAGGGATTTTTCTGTTTTGCTGCTGTATCTCCAGAACCTAGAAAAGTGCCTGGTACACTAGAACTTCTGATATCAGTAACCTTTCCTTAAAATGTCATTGTAATTTACCTGGTGCTTGTTTCAAAATAACACAGGAGGAGGGAGAAGGCGAGGAGATGGGGATGTGGATGGGGCAGGAGTGACTGTGGTTTGAAAGTCATTGGAACCGGGTGCTTTGCTTACTGCTGTGTATGTTCATCATGCTCCACAACAAACATTTAAAACAAAAATCTGTACTATCACTTGCAGTGCAATCTTCACCTTTATTCATTCACCAACTAGAAACACCACATCTGCTTGACAGGATGGCAGATGTACCCTGATCTTTTCCTCTGGTTAATCTCCTAAGAGGAGATGTCATGTGACAGGTATAGGTAGAGAACACAGAAGTCACAGGTCCCAAACCCTGGCTCTTAGAATTTCACTTTGGAAAATAATTTTCCATATGCCCATGCCTTACAACCCAGAATTTTTTTTTAAAGTAGGGGACTGATAAACACAATATTCTTGATAGTGGTTATCTTTGGTGGGGAGGCAGATGGAAGGAAATGAGCATGAGTAACCCTCTAATTCTTACATCAGGTGAGTTCACAGGTGTTCCATTTATTATGATGCTTCATAAACCACACGGGCTGCATGTAAATAATATTTGTGTGCACCAAACACCATATAATCTAGCCAACTCTTTCATAGGCAAATACATAAATATACCATAGTATAAATATAATAATTTTATTTAAATCATAATGATAAATATACTTATTTTAACTGAACACAGAAATTAGCTAAAATAGTTGAAGGGACCTTGTATAAACCTTTTCTGTCTTAAAGCACCAGTCACGGCACAAGCCTGACAGCACAAAGAAAACCAAACCAGCCAGGTTATTTCAGTCGCAGGCAGCCGCAACAGCCTTCAGTGGCTGAGTCAGACGACCTTTCCTGACAGCACATGCGTGCCAGGCTGCTTGAAGGAGACAAAGCATCAACAGTCTCCTGAGTGAAGCACTCTCATTCCTCCCCCTAGGTTTTCTATTATAAGCTCCTTCCCCTCCCCACCTCCCAAAAATAAAAAAAAGTAAAAACAGGCCACTTCCCAAAGAAACCCAGGATGACGGGATGTGTACACAGGAGACTGACAGAGGGCCTCATGGGCAGCTGAGAGGCTGATGAGACAACAAGACTCCTCCAGAGCAGGAGTCAACAGTCCTTGCTGCTCCTTATCATACATATGTAATGCAATGCCCAAGAGTCATTCCCTGGCTGGTTTTCCACTTAAACTTGTAAAGCTTATCAGGGGAAGACTTCACCCACTCAAAGAGAGGGAGGTCCTGAAATAACACTGTCTGGGCTAAAAAGAAAAACATCTTTCTGGCATGTGTGCCAACATGTGCAACCACATGTACTATTTTTCCTAAGTAACTACCCAGTCCCCTAAGATGGAGAGAAAGATACAGCCAGCATTGACTATGTCACAACTTTGTAAAGAAGCATGCAAATTGCTGCAAGTTTCAAGAAATATGAATGTAATGTTCACATTGGTTTTATTAAAACTGGCATAATGGATCACCTCTTTGGTTTTATACAATTCATAAAAGTTTGCATAGAATACATCTGAGAGGAAAAGCTTTTCCAAAAAAGACTGATGTTTCTCTTTTACAGAAACTAGAAATAATTAATGTCAAGAGCAAATGTGATTTTCTCTTCATAATCCAAGATAAACATACTGCTTTATTTCTTAACATAAAACACTTATTATAAATTAATTACTACATAATTAAATAAGAAATGAAAAAAAAAGCAAGAGGTAGCTTGGACGTTCCTTTGCCACCCTTTATTTAAAATTGAAAAAAAATATTTAAGATGGTTAAGGGAATTACCATTGATATTTTAGACATTTATTGTTCTATCCAACTTAAAACCCAAGTTAAAACTCAAGTAAACAAGAAGAAAGGTCAAAAAAATGCAGCACTATGGAGTAGGAAGATGCTGGCATGGAGCTTTGAAAGACACGCTCTAACTCAGGTTCAACAACTGAAAAGTCCTCCATTCCCTTATCTCTACAGGAAAGAAAATGAGCCAAAGAGTTCTAAAAAAATAGTCTTTGTCTAAAATATAGGATGCAGTTACTATTACAGTTCCCACTGCTGAAGACACTACAGTCCTAGAATAGACATCCAGTCATCACGTTTAGGGAAATATGTGAAAAGCTATAAGGATCAAAGAGGCTATACAACAGAATGAAAAAAATCCAAGAGAAAAACTGAATGAATCCATAGGGCTATTGACCACAGGATGATGCTTTTCTCAAAGCCATCTCTAATGCTGATGATACTAGAAGAAAAAAAGACTACAATCAAAATAACTGGCAAGAAAAGCCTTGGATAGAAGAATAAGTTAAGCAAAAAAATCTCCTTATCTGCTTGATTCTAATAGCATTGAAATGAACTACCTCTGGAGATTCAATATCTTTCAAGAATTTGAAATATCATCATTTATAAATGATATGGAAGCATTTCATGACAATGGAAAAAAGCAGATACCCTAGATCAGTTATTCTGTGGTTCTATCCTTGTTCTACCTAGCTGTGTGACTTTGGGTATATCCCTTAACCTTTCTGTGCTTTAAAGTCCTCATTTGAAAAATAAGGATAATTATGGTTCCTTGCAGGACTATTATGAGAACTAAAAAATGATAATGCACATAAAGAATATGGCATTATCATTATACATAATAAGTGCTTGATTCATGGTAGCTATTATTATTAATATGTGGCATATAGAAGAATATGCAGATAATTTAATGATCTCTGAAGATTTCTCTTAAATGCTACATTTCGGAGACCAGCTCATAACCATTCATCTCACTAGGACCACCATAAAATAAAGTAAGATAGGGCTAGAGAGGAGAAGAATCACAGAACCCTGGAGGCCAATGCAGAAAATGGCATGCATAGAGCACACCACAGAACAAGGGTCCAAAGGGCCAGGGTACTCACTAGACTCAGAATAATACAAAAGCCACAAAGTCAAAATAGAGTTTTCATATCAGAAAATGCCCAATCTAGGTACCATACCCAAAATTCCAAATTATTTTCCACTTTTGAGAGCACAGTTCTTAGAACTCAATCCATGGGCATGTGGAACCCTCTACTATGATCATGCTAAGTGGGTAGACTTACAATAATCCCATTGCCTAAACAGCTGTTTTGCTCATGTTCCTTAACTGGAATGACATATAGATTTTCTCTCGATCCTTCCAATCCAAGTCTGTACAGTATCAACAGTGTTAAACTACTGATTATTTTAAGTTATAGGCCTTTCTTCACTAATGCTACAGATGTGTGCCATGGATATGTCATTAACATGATTCAATAAATAAAAAACAGACCATACAGAATGAATAAATCACATTATTCATTTTAAATGCACAAAATATACCAAAGTCATTGCAAAAGAAAGCACTATGCCTAGGTTAAAAGTACCACATCCTCCAGCACTTTAAAAATAATACATTTCACTTTGCAAGAGCAGAACAGAACTCTAACATTCAATTGTTTCAAAAATACACCATACTGCCTCCATGAAACAATATCTTGGTATGCATGAATCAAAAGATGCCAGGTACAACGTATGAAAATTTAGGAATATATATTATTATTTCCAGATCCCAAAGGGGGGGGGGTCCTATAAAGCATTCCCGAGGGAAAGCTATCTCAAACTCCCATTAAAATTTGGCTCCAAGATGATCCTCAAAGCCTCAACTTGAGAATCATTTGAAGTCTTCTTTGAGGTTCAAATATGTATAACCAAAATGACAGGGTTTTTGTGTAAGCACCTATTTCTACCCCTAACTCTAGGAAGGCTCTAGAATTATTCAAGCCTCTCCCAAACACTGAGATGCCCAAAGGACAGTCAGTGCCTGAATTCAACAGCTCTGAATGCAACATCAAAGCAATTATTTGTACTACTCTATCCCATTAAGGAATTCAGTGTCTACCACAGGAAAATAATGAACGTCTCTTGACAGAATTTATTATTTTCCTAGTATTCTATATATATAAATTCAACTTGGTATTTCACCCAAGAAGGTCTATTTCATTCAAGGACCGAAGGACTTTTATAAGCTGGTCCCATGGTTTAACAAAGACAGCATTGTAGAGAGAGCCTAGTTAACCAGAAAACTAGCATCGCAGCAAATTTCAACTGTTATATATTTAAATAGAATCACTCCATTTCCAAAACAACAAAACTGTCATTATTTGCTCTCCAGAAAAAAAAAAGAACTATTGTGCTTTTTCTTGAACTGATACATGATATCAAGTTAAAAAATTAACATAAAGAATTCAGAAATAACCTCTTCTCTTACCTCCACCACTGTTGTTGTGGCAGCTTTGCACATTGGCAAGTTGAAATTCCTCGCACTTTTCCTGCATTAGGGGTGGGGAGATAAGAAGTGAGGAAAGAGGACAAAAATAAGAAGCGTCTCTTTCAGCTTTAAAATTGTATAGATTAAATTGTATAGATTAAAATTATTTCTATGAACTAAGAATCGAAGAATCTTCTTGAAAAGAACGTATCATAGTTTCTATTAATGTAGTTTTATAACTATCTCATAAATTTTAAAAAATGATAGCCACTTCATTCAATTTATATAGGTTTCTGTTTTTTTAAATGGGGTTGAGGGACTATTTTTCATGTTCAACATATAGCTATACATAAAAAAAATGGATATTAATAAATCTACCCTACTTGAAGTGAGTTTCCTTTAATCTTTTAACTGATACACTACTTTGTTTTTATGGTTAAATATTTCACTCAACAACTTGTTTTAATTAAAATATTAAGAAAGGAAAAGTAGCAAGTGCTTCACATGAAAAGGTACAGTAATTACATTTATTAAAGAGAGGTCTATTGTTGAAATTAAATGAAACATTCCTTGGTAATTTGTGAGCCACCTATAAAGATCATTCTCGAAAACCACTTTCTGATGAAATTTTTGAAAGTACAAAACCCACATCAGAACCTGAGGTGTAAAACTTTCAATAAAGTGGCAATTTTGCTGATGATTTTATATCCCGAAATTACTCAATATACTTACTCTAACCATAAAAATTAAAATGTATTTTTGTTTCCGGGAGTATATGTTGATAGAAGAATTTCTTTGGTAGAAGGGTGTAAGTCACAGCTACGTTTTACTAGCTCTTTTAGGCCACCAATATCTCCTTTGCTTAGATTCAAGGATGGGTATAAGGATAGGAGTGTCCTTGAAAGAGAAGCCCTTATGAACTTTCACAAGTTGATAGGTTGGATTCCACCAGATGTCCAGGTACCAAAGCTCCAAGGGCAGAGTATCAGAGGGCAAAGGAGTCCCAGGCTGCCCCACTTTAACAACAGCCTGACCTAGACAGACTCTGTACCAGTTGTCCCACTCAACATGAAGGTAGTCCTTGGTCCCTGAGCATTGGTAATGAGAGCTTCCATTTCACACCAGTTCCATAACCACTAGCATAAAGGTGGTGTTTAGAATAGACCTTGTGCATTCTTTAGATACCAGAGCCAGGCAGTGGAGCACAGGATGAACTCATGGAAATATTTAAAATAATTAATTTCCATTTGATAGTACGTAATTTCATTAATCTTTTTTTAAAAAGCAACTACACATTTGCAAACATTGCACAAAGAGATAATGTAAAATGTCTTCTGTAATTGCCAAAATTCGTTGTACATTCGTTGTACTTTAAAAAACTGGCTAAATTCAAGAAATCAAATATAGTATTAATCTCACGTAAGTCCTTGCAGAAATAAACAAAGGCAATGTAAGAGTGTCACTGAGAATTTCATTGTGATTACACCAAAGCAGCATTTGCTACAGATTGAAAAATTGCTAATTAAAAGCAGCAAATGACAACATTATGAGAAGGAAAATGATTTCTATAACCTAACAGGTAAAGTCTTCAAGACCAAAAGTTTTGGAAAACTCTTGAGTATATACTCAAAGGCATCATAATTTTCAAAAACAACTATAATCTATAAGTCCTAGATACTAAATATTTGGTATGCCTAGGATAATCAAAAGATCTTAAAATCTATAAAGCCTGTGGCTACCCAGATAATGAAAATGAAAGTTCAACATAATTACAGTTAATCAATTTTTCAGCCGGAACTTTATATGCATTTCCTAGGAGATATTAATAGGACTGAAAAGGACTGACCTAAATGATTATTAGCAATATCTTTCCAGAATATTAAAATAACTTTGACATTTTAAGATAGTACACATAATTACTGTCTTAAATTTTTATATTATAATATATAAAATTGTGTGTTGTCATGTTTAAGCATGTAGCTAGACTTGGCAACTAAAATATACAGGGAGAAAAACAATTGCATGTACCTACGTACAAGAGTCATAGATTTAAATATTTAACAAGCAGTGCAACAAGGACATCAGCCAGTCTGAGCGGACTCCCACAAGCACACCATACCATCAAGACTGCATAGCAGCAAACCTGTACACACAATATACATACACACACACGTGGGTGTGTATGATCTTAAGCCACTTCTAAAATGAATTTTTAGGAAATATAAAGTTGCTAACATACATTACATTAATATTTTTTAAAACCATCACTATACCTGAAAATCACATTTCCTGCTCGGTCTGCCTTCCAAGCTTTCACCAAAGCAAAATCTCCAGTAATTGCTTCCTCCAAAATATAGTGCTGACCATTGAACTCCCTCACCTGCAGGAGAAAAGGGGACATTGTCAGGTATTTGCACAGGTCTTCTTTGCTTGTGATATGCACTCTAGTAGAGTCAAAGAATAGGGATACAAGCCTAGTGAGAGAAGGTTTCTCAGAGGGAAAAGAACCTTAGAAACTTTAAGGATAAATAGTGTAGGGCAGCGAGAGCTTACTCCAAGTGGTCATGAGGGAGCTAAGGGAACAGACACATAAAACGCCCAGTGACAAGAGAAAGCTTGGTACACTTGAGGAACTGAATGTTCTACAAGCCTGAAGCATAGACCATGTGTGTTAATATTCATTTTACTATTTGTGTGTATAGATTATTTATTGAACATGGAAAATAGTCTCTCTGAGAAAAAAACTATAATTTGCATGAAATGTCCTATATATTGTTTTCACACATAAAAGAATTATAAAAATCCATTCATCTCTCATTAATCTATAATTTATAATCACCTGTTAAAGTTTTAAGTGGGATTCGTATAATTAGAATTTGGAATTTGCAGAATTCTCTGCAAATTCATATAATTTGGAGGAAATTGACATGACATATCTTCCCACCATTGAGCGTAATACATGCCTCCATTTACCGGAGTTTCCTTCCACCTCCTTCAATAGTTTAATCATTTTCTCTAGAATCTTTGTATTTTTTTCCTTAGGTTTATTCACACTTCATGGTTTCTGTTGCTACTATGAATGTTAGCATCTTATTTTATTATCACATTACTTGTCTAATTGAATGCTATTGATTTTTGTTTATGTTTACTGACTTTTAATTCCATGAATTTTGGGGGTAAGAACATAAAGCAAAACTGCGCCTTGGCATTATGTTCCTTTTTTCCTCTTGGGGATTTATCTCTGGGAATGCAAACAGAGGAGAAAGGAAACAATGTCCGTTGCCACAATCGCTCCATCACTGCACAAGATGGAGCCATCTGAAGGCAGAATTCCATTCTCATTCCTACTGCATCCCCTAGTGGACAAACGGACGCAGTGCATTGTATATAAAGCCTCCATAGAAAGCTTTAGTACATTTACTTTTAACAATGGTTTTAAACAGAAATCCTTTCTTAACGAAAAGATTCTTTAAAAAAAAAACAGAAGAAGAAGAACAAGAAGAGGAAAAGCTTCTTTAAAGACAAGTATCCTGCTGGAAAAGATTAATGCACTTAGGAAATCACTGATGAATAAGGATCTTAGTAACATGAACTTAGATAAATTATATGAAAGATAATTCTAAGCTTCATATTAATATACAAAGGTATTTTTAAATGGATTATGTATTTCAAAATCATCACTAAATACTAGCTGATTATTTTACAGATCTAGAAAACTAGAATAAATATATGCTAATGTAGAGCAAAGTCAGGAAATTGGCTTTTCTCTTATATCCCAATTATATAATTTCCTGATGGGTCTACATAACAGCTGTTGCTGAGTGTCAACTATCCTAAACTGTAAAAATGGGGGAAGGAATTGGTTTTGTCAAACTAGCTATTATACTCACTTGACAGGGTCATGTTACACAGTCACCACTTCCTCCTTACTGGTTCTTTTTTTAATACATTCTAATCAGATTTTATTTTCATGTTTTCATTATAGAAAAAAACACTCCTTAAGGTTGCCAATGACTTCCATTTTAACAAATCCAACAATCAACGCCAGTCCTCACATTACTCACATTATGTCTCCATGCAGTTGATCACTCCTCTCAGGTGATCACTCCTTCCTTTTTACAACTTCCCTTCTCTTTCAAATCAGTAGACTGGGGGCTGGGGGATTCCTCTTTTCTTACTAGTCACTCTTTCCCACGTCCTTATGTTTAAACATTATATGCTGATGCCTCCAGAATCCCTGTCCTGGCTCTAAACACTCCCCTGACTGGAGCCTGCTGAGCAGCTACTCTTGAGTCTAATGGACAACTCAAATGCTCCATGTCCCACACAGAGCTCTGCTTACACCCAAATACAGCATACTTGATTCTTCTCTTATACCCCACTACCAATTCATCAGCAAACCCTGTTGGCTCTACTATCAGCATATATCCCAATTTCAACCACTTCTCACAAACTCCACCATTACCACCTTAGCCTAAACTACCTTCCACTCCTACCTGGATTACCACAACAGCCCTTTTAGCCTCTCTTGCTGCTTCTGCTCTTGGTCTCCTACAAAAAAAAAAAAAAACTCGCCACCCAACTGTTACCGTTATCTTTACAAAATGCAATCCGGATCAGATCACTCTTCTACCCTTATTCAAAACTCTCACCAAACTCAGTAAAATCCAAATTCTGTGTGGATTCAACTCCTGCCCCTCTTTAGTCTCCAGTCTTATCACCCTGCCTCCCGTACTCTGCTTCATTCTTACCACCTGCTGTTCCGTAAACAGGGCAAACCTATAGCTGCCTCAGGACCTTGCACTTCCTCTTCCTTCTGATGAAAGCACACCTTCTGATCTCTACCTGCTTCATTCTCCTACCTTATTCAGGTCTCTACCAAATTTCACCTGCTTGGTGAACCTTATCCTGGACAATTTGAAACACCATCTCCCTGGTGTGGAGCCACTGATGACTCTTTTTCAACTTCTCTTCACAGCACTTCCACTATAGACATCATGTGTTTATTCATTCACTGTCAGTTTCTCCATTAGCAGGGAGACTGGGTGCTTAGACCTCAATAAAAATCAGTGGATTAAGGGCTTCCCTCATTTCCTCTTCCTACACTAAACAAGGGAAATAAAGAGTTAAAAAGAATTGTTTCAAGAAATTATTTGTCATATTCCTAGGGAGTTCAGACAAAATAACAAAATTGCTAAATTAATGCACCTGACTCCAGGCAGAAATGAACCCAAGAAGGATTCTAGTCTATCATATTTTCCCAGGGTGAATTAATGCTACAACTTCTAGCAAGTTAACGAAGTATTAACCCAATTTTTCTGGGCTCTTTTATCATACTACTAAGATTCATTTTTAGTAATTAGGCTCCTGTTTTTACTTTGTGGAGATACCTTTTAATTTTAATTAGGCAGTAAGGCAAAAAGCAAGAAAGAATATGAAAAATATGTTAATAAAAGCTTTAAATCAATATAGGTCACTCTCAGCAGAAAGGCAAAGCTCCAGATGGAAGACACAGCTGGAGACAGACACTAAACAGCAAAGGACATGTTCAATGATCCCTTATCTTCGCTCAGAACAGGAGGGGCAGAGCCAGCATTCCTATATGCAGAGAAGTGATAAGAGATCCCTTGATCTACTGTGTTCACTTCCCTAGAGATGAGCTCAGCATTTCTGCCACCTGTGTTAACTCTCGAGTCATCTGTACAAGGAGAATGGAAAGATACTAAAGAACACAGTAATGAAACATTGACCTGTGTAATTTCTCCAATCCAAAGACCTCAAATACCTGTATCTGGAGTTCCACTCTTCTCTAATATGTGATTGAAGTTGCCTCATCCTACCCAGCACTTTAAATAAAACTAGGTTATTCCGTCAAAAGCTCAAAGTGTGTCTAAGATACAAAATATAAAGGTCATAATATGAACTCGGTATTTATTCCATTATATAATAACTGTTCCCTGCTTTTCAAGGTTTTAGACAAACTTAAGATTTTCTAAATTTTATTCTTCCTGTGGTCACATTAGGTAGGACCTGTGCATGAAGAATTTAATACCATACATATCATACTATTCTATTTTCCATATAAGTATAATCAGCAATTATAAGTGTTCCTATATTTGTTAAAACTTACTATATCAGTTCAAATAACTAATCTTGACTATTACATTATATATGGATTATAGTTTCTTTTCTTATTTATTCTAGTTTCTCTATGTGATTTTAATTGTGAGCAGATGCCTGGATTAGCTAGAAATTTTACCTAACATATTTACAAAGATGAATGAGTGTTTTTTCTCTCACGGAGGTGATTTTATGCTTATTTAACCCAACAAGTGCACCCAGAATCCCATGTGGAAAGAGGTATCCTGATGCTAACTGGATGAGAACACTCTTACCTCTCTTGGCTTACTGGCAATGGCAATGCTGCCATCCTTGTTGTATTTAATGGGTGATCCTCCTTCTTGTACCAGAGTCCCATACCCTGTGCTGGTGTAAAATGCAGGAACTCCAGCCCCGCCTGCTCGGATTCTCTCTGCAAGTGTGCCCTGCAAGTGAGCAACCAACATCCTTAGTGAAAAGTTCACTAAGCACAAGTCTGTATGTCAACAGAGAAACATTTATAGACATGGTTCCTACTCTCCAGAGGTTCATATTCTAAAAATTACCTACCATTGTATATTGGTGTATTTCATTAATATCGTATGCTGGAAGATCAATTCTTAAAAGTTACTTCTAGATCCACACTGAATCCACATTCAAAATGTATCTGCTTATTTATATAGTCATGCTTTTATCTTTTTATACCCTCCTAATGGTCTCTTGACATCATGTTCTATATATGTCTATTTTTAATATTTTAAATCAATTTTTAAATCTGAATTATGAAACTTTAGCTATATGCATTAAAGAACATATTAAATTCTGTGTTTCACTGCATGCTCTATGTAGCTATGGCCTAAATCTTATCATTAATAATACATCAATAATGTAAAGTGTTTAAATTTTATAATTTATTTTAAACCATTTTCATAAGTATTTTACCTACTAAATTATCTAACGAAGAAAAACCCAAAGTTAAGCAAAGTGTATATAGCATGCAGGTAAATTGGTTTCTATACATCAAAAAATAGAGTAGCTCAGTTTCAGAGATGAGGGCCGAGTAATGTCAAAATGGAAGACCAGCACAGACAACCTGTAGACCTTGTATTACTCAAAGCATCAAAAAATTTGCCTTTCTCTATGACAAAGTCTTCAGTTAGGAGATGATATAGAAAATGAGTGGAAACTTACTATTAGTAAGTTGTAGTAACTGTTTGCTTTGTAATAACATTAGTTCCCTGGAAACCTGGGCTCTGATCCCAGCACTTACTCTGTGATATAGTCAGTTTTCCCTTCAAGGGCTTCACTCTCTTGACATGTCTCAGCAAGACCAGATCACTCACAAATTTCTAGTTCTACAATTCACAGAAACTGACTTCTAGGACAATTCTCAAACATTTCATCAAGTCTTTTTGAATGCTTCTGACAAAATACGCATTATAGTGCCACACTTACAATCTTATCTTGCAGCCTAGAAATTTTTACTGAAAATACCTCCTTTTTCAGTACACAGTGGCAGAAAATATTAATCCTCTAGCAATCAACAGATGTAACTTATAAACAAAATTTCTTGATTTGGCAAAATAGCATTCCCTCTGTCTTACCTCTTCTGCACAAAAAAATTTCTAGGGAGAAAAGGGGAAAATTTTAAATAAGTTAGTACTGTGAAAGAAAAAGCAGAGAAATGATCTCACCTGAGGTGTCAGCTCTACTTCTAATTCACCAGATAAGTACTGTCGTTCAAATTCTGCATTTTCTCCCACATACGAAGAGATCATACGTTTTATCTGCTTGGATCGAAGTAAAAGGCCCAAGCCAAAGTTGTCAACTCTGGAAGGAAAATGAAAGTAGTTTACAATTCAAAGGAACACCTGACAAAACACCACATTTTTTCTAGAAACATGAAATTTTATCAATTTAGAGGAAGAGAAATTCTCTCTGCTAGGCATTTAATTCTCTCTCATCCTCCAAAGAAACTTTCAAGGTGGCTATTTTTTTTCTTATTTTACATTTGAGGAAACTAAAGCTTAAAAGATTTAAGTGATTTTTTTTCCCCAAGATTTTGGGCAGTAAGGGAAACAGCCAATATTCAAACCCACATCAATCCTATAATTCTACTATATTTTTTGTTCTTTTCTTTACTGCAAAGTGATTGTTGGTTGGAAAATAAGCAAAGAGATGAACTGGTTCTTTTCCTACACTTTAGAGGAATACGGAAGTGCAAGTGGTAGTATACTGACCCCAAAGGAAGATTTGGATAAAGAAAAGATCTTTTTGTTCTAAAAAGGAGAGTGGGGCATTCTTGTGTTTAAAAGAGAAAAGACTAGCATACTCATTGAAATATGGACCCAAATTTTAAATCACTATGAACATTTTCCCTATATAATAGATATCTTGCTCAAGAAGATTTATACACTTGAACATTCTTAACAACAAAATCGGCAAATTAATTGCAAACCAGTGAAAAGATTATAATAGCAAGAGTAATCCTGTATCTGTTAAATTATATATACTATGATTTAATATTTCTTATTTGAAAATTGGAGCTCAATTTCTCTTAGAAATGGTGCACATAGAATTGGCTTTCTTTTTCATTAAGTGAAGGTCTCCAGGTTTGTACCTTTCTTCTTAACTTCTATTATCTTTTTCAAAGCAAAATATAGCCAGAATTTCAAGCAAAGTCAATGTGACAAAACAGGTTAATAATTAAATGAATACTTTTCCATTTTCAGTCACCTTAAAGACTGAAAATTATGCTCTTTTCCACTCAAAAAGTTTCAGAAATAACCAACTAGGGAAAGAAATCATTTCTAAGATAACCCTTATGCTATAAAACTATTATTTATTTTTTTGAGGTAAAATACACATTTACCATCTTTACCATTTACCACATTTACCATCTTTTTTAAGTGCACAGATCAGTGGTAATTAATACATTTATATTCTTTTTTTTCTTTTTCCTCCTCTTCCCTTCACCTTCCCCAGCCTCTTGTAACCACCAATCTAATCTCTATTTTCATGAAGTTCACTTTTTTTTTTTTTTAGTTCCCACAAATAAGTGAGAAGATGTGAGATTTGTCTTTCTGTGCTTGGCTTATTTCACTTAACATAATAGCCTCCAGTTCCATCCATGTTGCTGCAAATCACAGGATTCCATTCATTTTTATAGCTGAATAATATTCCATTGTGTATATGTACAATTTTTTTATATATTCATCCATTGATGGGCACTTAGGTTGATTCCATATTTTGGCTACTGTGGATAGTGCTGCAATAAACATGGAAGTGTAGTTATCTCTTTGATATACTGGTTTCCTTTCTTTTGGAAATATACAGAGTAGTGGACTTGCTGGATCATATGGTAGTTCTATTTTTAGTTTTTTAAGGAACTTCTATACTGTCTTCCATAATGGCTGTACCAATTTACATTCCCATCAGCAATGTACAAGGGTTCTCCTTTCTCCACACCTCACCACCATTTGTTAATTGCCTGCCCTTTTGATGCAAGTCATTTTACCTGGGGTGAGAAGATATATCACATTGTGGTTTTGATTTGCATTTCTCTGATGACTAAAGATGTTGAGCTTTTTTTCAAATACCTGTTGGTCAATTGTATGTCTTCTTTTGAGAAATGTCTGTTCAGTTTCTATTGTCCATTTTTTAATTAGATTATGTATTTATTTTTTGTTATTGAGTTGTTTGAGCTCCTTACATTTTTTTTTTTAAGACAGAGTCTCGCTTTGTTACCCAGGCTAGAGTGAGTGTCGTGGCATTAGCCTAGCTAACATCAACCTCAAACTCCTGGCTCAAGCAATCCTCCTGCCTCAGCCTCCCGAGTAGCTGGGACTACAGGCATGCACCACCATGCCCGGCTAATTTTTTTTCTGTATATATTAGTTGGCCAATTAATTTCTTTCTATTTATAGTAGAGATGGGGTCTCGCTCTTGCTCAGGCTGGCTTCGAACTCCTGACCTTGAGCAATCCACCCACCTCAGCCTCCCAGAGTGCTAGGATTACAGGCATGAGCCACCACACCGGCCAAGCTCCTTACATACTGCGGTTACTAATCCCTTGTCAGATGGAGAGTTTACAAATATCTTCTCCCATCCTGTAGTTGTCTATTCAACTTTGTTGACTGTCTCCTTTGCTGCACAGAAGCTTTTAGCTTGATATAACCCCAATTGTCTATTTTTGCTTTGGTTACCTGTACTTTCAAGGTTTTACACAAGAAACCTTTGCCAAGACCAATGTCCTGGAGCATTTCCTCGATGTTTTCTTCTAGTAGTTTCATAGTTTCAGGTATTATATTCAAGTCTTTAATCCATTTTGATTTCATTTTTGTGTACAGTGAGAGATTAGAAGTCTAAGTTTCATTCTTCTGCAAATAGTATAAAACTATTTTTAAAGATGAAGTATTTTTAATGGTGAAAACCACAAGGAGACACCACTACAAACATGAAAGAATGGCTACATAAAAAAGGAAATATCAAGTTTTGTCAAGGATGTGAAACAACCAGAACTCACATACATGCTGAGGGGAGTACAAATTGATGCAAACACTTTGGAAAACCTTTTAGCAGTATCTATTAATGCTGAATATATTCACATGTTATGAGTCAGCGATTCCAGTCTTGGGTCTATAACCAACAGGAATCACACTTATGTTCACCAAAAAACATTCACAAGAAAATCCATAGCAGCACTATTCATTATGGCCAAATTGGAGCCTCTCAAACATCCATCAACAATAGAATAAATTGTGGTGTAGTCACACAAAGGAATACAACACAGCAATGAGAATGAATGATCTACAAACACTAGTAACAATGGATGAATCTCACAGACAAACTGTTGAGCAAAAGAAGCCAGATTCAAAAGAGTGAATACTAAATTATTCCTTTTATATGAAGTTCACAATCAGACAAAATAAATGTATGAGATAAGAAGTAAGGAGAATGGTTAACCTTGGTAACAGGAAGGAGCATGAAGGGGGCTTTCTGAGTACTGATCATGTTCCGTTTCTTTATCTGGGCATCAGTTACATGGGTGTGCAGCTCGTAAAAACCCATCAAACTGTACATTTATGATATGTTCACTCTTCTATATTACTCTACTATTCAACAATAAAGTTTTCTAAAGGATAGACATGTAGTGATAAAGGCCTGAGTATCTCTTAGAAACAGAAGTCTTTATTTCTCTCCCTCCTAATTCCTTCTGCACTCTGATGGTTCCTCCCCATGGAGCACATGTCACCCACAATCCCTCACTGAGCGCTTTCTCTGCCCCAGGGCTGGTATGTCAAGCTCTGGGGCTACAACCACAAATAAGGTCTTGTCCTAGGCCCTTGGCCCTCAGAAGCTCTGAGACTATCAAGGAAATAAACATGTAACTTATAATTACAACAAAGGGAAACATGGTAGAAAATTCTACACCAAGTGTGACAAGAACACTGAAGATGGAGAACCCAATTGCTGGGGTGGAGAAAGAGGGGAGAAAAAGCCTTATAGAAGGTGGCACTTAGATGTAAGCAAAAAATATATATATACACACACACAAATTTTGAGAGCAGAGTGAGAGATGGAGGTGTTAAGGAAAGAGGAAAGTAGGCAGCTTTGCAAAGATGAACTCAGGAAATCTGTTGGGCATAAGTGGAATACAGACTGAGAGCAGAAGCACACAGGAGAGGTAGAAGGCAGGCCAGATTGTGATCTGCCTCATAGGAATTCATCCTAAAGGATGTGAAGACCCTGATATCCTCTGGAACCCAGACTAATAAAGTCTTAACAATAAAATAATCCACAAAAGGTGGAGACAGTCCATTTGCTTTCTGAAATGTTAAATATCTGAAACTCCCTCCAAGACCATAGGCCCATACAAAAGATCAGAAGACAGTTGGTCATTCATTGACTTACGAATTCTTCTAACCAATCATGCGCATCTCTGGCTTTCCAACCCATTATATACTTGAGCTTGACTCTGTGTAGAGACGGTTTCTCTGTATTTCTCGATCTTGGCTCTGGGAATCATTATGTATTTGGCCTTTGTTTTGTTTTTAGACTACTCTCTTGGCATGACAATCAAGCAATGAATAAGGTGTTTAGTGCGGGTTACCACCTGACCATACAGTCAGTCTTCATGTCTTAAAAAATGCTGATAGAAAACTTATAATGGGAATGTTTCTTGCCATATACTTTACAACTCACAAATTCAGCAAACATGTATGTCTTACCTACTAATATTCTCACACAGTGATGTTAAAAAAAAAAAACAGTAAGATAAGTCCGTTACCTGTAAGAGCTCATATAAAGAAAAAAAGAAAAGATACATGTGATCTTTTGCAAGTGAGGAACATATTTCTAATAGTGAAACACAAATAGTAAAGCATCTTGTAGCTCTTTAATACTGAAGATAATGCAGATGGACTTTCAAATTGATTATGTTGCTTGCCTTTAGTAACTGCCAACATTTTTCTAGCATACCTGAAGAGAGATTTGACCTTTTTCCTGCAGCACAATAAAACTGAGTTTCAAACATTCTAGTGATAAAAAGAAGTCTAAAGCCAGGAATTCATTAATGAGATACATTAATGTAAAACAAATAGATATTGTATGGAAAACATCAGTGGTCTGCAAATAATTTCATTTTCTGAATTTGTAATTTACTGAACTTTTATTTTATGAAATCTCATTAATTGGCAATTCTTGTCAATAAAAGTAATAAAAATGAAGTTACAACCATTCACCAAACTGCATTTCTCTTGTTTACATTTCATTTTAGACATACTTAAAATCCCAATTACACAATTATATTTACTCTGATAATATCAAGAGTATCAAAAGAAAAGAAAATGCTTTATTTAAGTATAAGGTTAATTCATAACATACTGTAATCCCCACCCCACCATCCTCAGTTTCAGTTTCTGCAATTTGTTAGCCAGTCAACCACAGTCTAAGACTACTAAATGGAAAATTCAAGAATAAACAATTCATAAATTTTAAATTGCACACCATTCTGAGTAGCATAATGAAATTTCACTATAGCTACACTATATAGGGTCCCCGCCTATTAGGCACTGAGTAGCCATCAGGGTGATCAGATGAACTGTCGAGGTTATCTCAGTGTTTGTTTTCAAGTCACCCTTATTTTACTTCATAATTCCCCAAAGTACAAGAGTAGCGATGCTGGCAATTCAGATATGCCAAAGAGAAGCCATAAAGTGCTTCCTTTAAGTGAAAAGGTGACTGTTCTTGACCTAATGAAAAAAGAAAAAACATTATACACTGAGGTTGTTAACCTCTGTGGCAAGAATGAATCTTCTGTCTGAGTCCGTTTTGCACTGCCATAAAGAATATACCTGAGGCTGGTAATTTATAAAGAAAAGAGGTTTATTTGGCTCACCGTTCTACAGACTATACAAGAAGCATCATGCCAGCATTTGCTTCTGGCAAGGGCTTCAGGAAGCTTCCATTCAAGGCAGAAGGTGAAGAGGGAGCAGGTATGCCAGATGGGGAGAAGCAAAGAACAGGAGGAAGAGATGCCAGACTCCTTTAAACAACCAGCTCTTGAGTAAACTAATAAAGGGAGAACTCTATCAAGGGGAGAGCACCAAGCCATTCATGAGGGATCCACTCTCATGACCCAAACACCTCCCACTAGGCCCCACAATCAACGTTGGGGTTAAATTTCAACATGAGATTTGGAAGGGACAAACATCCAAACCTTTATCATCCTCTATCAGTGAAATTGTGAAGAAGGGAAAAGTTTGTGCTAGTTTTGCTATTGCACCTCAAACTGAAAAAGTTATAGCCACAGTGCATAACAAATGCTTAGTTAAGACAGAAAAGCCATTAAATTTGTGAATGGAAAACACGAAGAGAAACACGTTCCAATTGATGGCAATCAGGTTCAGTACCATCCACGATTTCAGGCATCCACTGGGGTCTTGGAACAAATCCCCCTCAAATAAGGGGGGAAGTGCTGCAGTTCCAAGAAACAAATGAAATCTTCCAAGAGCTGAGCACAGGATTGCAAGTAAACATCCCAGAAGGGATTAGCCCTTCCTAGACAAAATAACCAAATCTTGGGGAATGCTCATAATCAGCCAGAGTGGCCTATGTGTGTCCATTGAGTCCTTTGGAGCTGCCTAAACAAAGAGGAAAGAGGGCAGAGCAGAGGGGCCACTGGCTTTTTACCTCTAGGTTTAAAGTCATTGGTGTAGAACCAGACCTTTTATTTAGAGTGAGGGACTGTTCACTGGACCCTCAAAAAGTAATTACAAGTATAGGTATTAATACATAGATATTATCACATTTATTAGCCTTCCACATGTAAGTGGAGCTGTCCCTGGAGTAATCTAAATCCTCACCCTTCTAGAACTATAAAGTCATCTTGTCATGAGGAAATGAGCATGACTAACGTAACACACCTACTCTTCTGTTGGCTCTGTGATTTAATAGATTGATATGTAGTTTATTACAAAACTTTTGATTCATACTGGCTTGTAACTCATGTGTCAAGTTCTCCAAATATCAGTGAAAGGCACATTCTCAATTTTTCCTATCTTTCTAATCAACTCATAACAAAGTATTAATTCAGCTGAGTGATCCTAAAGGAGGGTTTATATCATCAAGGCTAATAGTTACTATTTCATACCAAGGTAAGTGGTATCCCATGACAATAACTCTTATTGATTATTAAAAGAAAACAAAAATATATAACCAAGAACCCTAAGCTTTGGAAAGACTTCCAATTTTGGCAGATTGTTCCATAAAAAGAACCCTTTCTAAATGAGATAACAGTTATTACTTTTTTTAAAAAGGTAAAATAAAATCTTTTATTTTCCTTATTCTTAATTGATCTAATAGATAACTGTTTAAAATAATAGTAACAATGTACCCATAGCTTATGAATAAGTGAAATGAATGACAGCAATGTTTTACGGTACAGGAATGAGAAACTGGAAACTCTCTGTGATAAGGTACCTGTATTAGCCATGAAGCAGTATAGTGTTTTATTAGTTTTAATTGAATACAATCTATAATTATTATGAATTATAGATATTTATGGAGTACAGTATGATTTTGCTACATGGATACAATGTATAATGATCAAATGAGGATAATTAGCCTATCACCTGAAACATTTATCATTTGTGTTGAAAGCATGCAAAATTTTCTATCACTTTAAAAATATTCAGTAAGTTATTAACAACTATAGTCATCTACAATGCTATAATGCTTACTCCTTCTATCTAGCTGTAATTTTAAATTTGGTAATCAACCTCTCCCCATTTCCCTTCTCCCCTCCCCTTCCCAGCCTCTAGTAATAACTATTCTACTCTCTACTTCTATGAGACCAACTAGAAACAGCTGTTACTTCTAATTCCAAGTTCTGTCCACTTACCCAACAATTCAAACCACTGGTCATCAGTTCTCCAACAAAATATCTAAGTTTTCCTCATTTACCTGACTCTAATGGCCAAAACAAGGTTCTTATTCCTTTAAACCTCTAGGATTTAAACCCTCCAATGAAAAGAATCAACTACCAATGAGTGTCTGTGAAGTACCTTATTTGTGTTCAATTAAGTAGGTTATCAGCACCTACTCTTCATCAATAATTTATATTGATCTGCAGCATTCCTTGTAAGCACAGAGCTATCTGGAAAACTCAAACCATTGATAATCAAAAGTATTTGTAGGCCGGGCGCAGTGGCTCACACCTGTAATCCTAGCACTCTGGGAGGCTGAGGCGGTCGGATTGCTCAAGGTCAGGAGTTCAAAACCAGCCTGAGCAAGAGCAAGACCCCATCTCTACTATAAATAGAAAGAAAGTAATTGTCCAACTAATATATACAGAAAAAAAATTAGCCGGGCATGGTGGTGCATGCCTGTAGTTCCAGCTACTTGGGAGGCTGAGGCAGCAGGATTGCTTGAGCCCAGGAGTTTGAGGTTGCTGTGAGCTAGGCTGATGCCATGGCACTCACTCTAACCTGGGCAACAAAGCGAGACTCTGCCTCAAAAAAAAAAAGTATTTGTATTAAGTATAAAGTCGGATTAAAGGGCACAGGATGTGTTTAAGAAAGATCAAATTATTACAGACAAGTTACTTCTCTACATACAGATGAATTTCCTCTGTTAAACAAGGGAACTAGAGCAGATGATCTCTACAATCCCATCCAACTCCAACACACAGTGACTCTGACTCACAGGCTAATAAGCACAGTAGGGATACAAAACTATTGTAAGTAATATATGATCGGTATATAATATACATCCAAGAGAATATATAAAATTCAGTATATAAAGAAAGGCTAAAAGTCTCAGAAGCAACTTAGAAAGGGGTAAGATCAATGAAGATAGAAAAGTCCTGTAATTGCATAAGGCTACTTTATGTATGTGTAACTTGAGTTGAATCCTAAAAGATGGGAAGGATGCAGATAGGCAGGGAAGAGGAAGGAGAGTCTTCTAGATGGAAATAATAACAAACTCAGAAAAGGGAAAATGAGCACAAACACAGTATCACTTTTGTTTCCCAAATAGTCTGTGCTATTTATTCTAAATTGCATTTATAATAGGCTAAACTGCCGATTTGGTTATTTTTTTTAACATTTTTCAAGATCTTTAAAGGTTTTAATTGTTGAAAGACAGCTGATGATTCACCATTTTGTACACATAAAGATTTTTCCAATGGTTTAACCTTAAAACCTTTCCAAAGGGTTTCCCATGGCTAAACATGCCTTCATGTGCATCCATTCCATTATTAAAATGGTGACGTCTTATTGATCATTTTGATATGTGATTCTACTACCTTGAAGCAGTATTATCCTACTAGCTACTTAAGATAGTAGGATCTACCTTCCACCAGCAATATTCTGATGATTAATGGTATTCCTTTAAATATCATCTAGAGCAATGTCATAACCACAAAAAGGACTTGAAACAAATTTCAAATTGATGTTCATCTTGCCTTATAAATTACAATCTATAATAATAAAGAACATAAACGAGCATCAATAAAATTTAAAATGCAAGATTCAATTTAAAAATATGTACTCTAATATTTTAAATTTAGAAAAATAAAAGCACGTCATTGAAGATATAGTCTTAATTCATACCTTTATACTGTGTAAGATAAAACAAGGCTACTTTATTTATTATGATTATGAAGGATGATACCAAAAATATTTGAATAAATGTAACTTCCACTCTTGACCTTGGTTAAATATTATCTTTTGGTGTTCACACATATTGCTCACACATATATGTAAATAAGGGAAAATATCATTTCATTAATAAATTCTATTTAAATATCAAGAACTACCATTTCTTTCAAGCCAGTTGTTTTAAAAATGCACACTTACCCTGCATTATTGCTGACTGCAGTTAGTCCTTTTACTCCAGTCTTTAGTAAAGCTCCTATAAGATTCTCTGGAATTCCACATAGCCCAAAACCTATCATAAGCCCAAAAGATAAATAATTTGTAAAGTGGGGAATAATGTTCTTTCAGAGAAACATGTGGTACTGTTTGCTAACAAAAAAGACAAAGTTATCAGATCTACTAAGCAAAATACACAGATATATATCAGCAACTCAAATGGTCACATAGCTTTACCCAAATGTTTTACACCAGACATCACTGTCTTTGAATTGTAAGTATAAAGCCAAGTGCACCAGTTTATATGGTCACACATTGCTCCTCTTGCACTTAACTACAAGTCTATTATTGTACTGCTTTATAACTCAATCTTTATAAAGTTACTTTTTCAAGCATGTTTTATATGTCTGAGTTGTATCTGAGTTTTATGTAGATTTTTGCAGACCTGTACACCCATGTCAGTACCTTCATTTTTTTTTTATGGTATGATTCCATTTATGTATAAAATATATTTCACAAAACTATGCATGAAAATGTGTTTGTGTCTGGAAGAGCAAACATCAAAGTAACATCAGCAACTGCTACTGGGAAGGGTCTAGATTGGGGTGGGGATAAGGGCAGAGGAGAAGAGAGTGAATTACCTTATATAGCTTACATATTTTCTTTTTTTTTGTTGTTTTTTTCATGTCATTCTTTTTTTATTCATTTATTTATTCATTCATTTATTTATTTCAGAATATTATGGGGGTACAAACATTTTGGATACATGTTATGACTTTGCCACACCCAAACCATGATTTGGGGTGTGCCTTTTCCCCCCTACAACACTTACCGCATCCATTAGTTGTGAGTTCACCCACCTGCAACCCCCTAATCCCTGTAGAATATTACTATCATGTGAGCACCATAGTGTTGATCAGTTAGTGCCAATTTGATGGTGAGTACATGTAGAGCCTATTCTTCTGTTCTTGTGATACCTTACTTTGGAGGATGGGCTCAAGCTCTATCCAGGAAAATATAAGAGGTGCTAGATCACCATCCTCAAATAATGTTGGTTTTAAAATAAACATTCAATAACTTAGTTGAATGAATAGAGAATAGCCCTAAAAATAAGTCTTGATCTCATTTTAAGAATTAGGCAGCAAGTTTAGTGAGTGTGAGGCAGTGGTTCTAAAAGACATTCCAAACAAAAAGCAGTAATAAAACTGGGGGTGGGTAGGAGACAACAGCTAGATGCCTGTAAGTTCTCTCTCATAAAGTAAGGAGTGATAGAAGTAGTAGGGCTAGGTATAAACTGATAAGATCAATGTAAACATTTTGAGTTAAACAGAACTCCCAAAGATCTAGGAATTTTTCAAAGCTACTGATTGATAAGCTATCACTACTTTGAAGCTTTAGTTTTTCAAAATAATAGAAAAAAAAACACAAAAAGAAAGAAAAGTAAAATATTAGTACTAAAGCCTTGTTGAACTTTCAGGAAGGAAACACCATAATAAAATAAAAGACAATATAATATGTAATAAACATAATGAACAGACTATAACAAATAACTAAATAATAAAATAACTGGCATTTTAAATCTACATAGCTTTATCACTGTAATTTCCCTGCTTCACTAAAAGCATAAGGACGTTACCAGAAAAATGGGAAACAATATTATTACTCACCACCAACCAGAATTGTTGCACCATTGGGAATGTCTTTTACAGCTTCCATTGGATCTGCATAAAATTTGGTATGGTGACGAGTACTGGTAGAAAAGTAGCAAACATATCCCTGAAACATTAATAAATACTTTTAAGTGAATAATCATTTGGAAATGCAGATTTACTTTATGTATATAGAAATTTATTCCGTTTTTATATGTACAATAATTTCATTGTCCCATTTTACATATACATTTTATGTTTTTAATTGATAAGGTAAAATTGTATATATTAATGGTGTACAACATGACATTTTGATATACGTACAATAGTCCCCCCTTATCCACAGTTTCACTTTCTGAGGTTTCAGTTACCCAGGGTGAGCATGGTATCATAAGATTCTGAGAGAGAAAGAGTGTACATTCACATCATTTTTATTATAGTATATTGTTATAACTGTTTTATTTTATGATTAGTTATTGCTTGTTAATCTCTTACTGAGCCTAATTTATAAATTAAACTGAAACACAGGTATACATGTGTAGGAAAAAACAGTATACATAGGGTATACAGTACTATCCACAGCTTCGGGCATCCACTGGGAGTCCCCCTCAGAAAAGGGGGGACTACTGTATACCTGGAATGGCTAACTCAAACTATTTAACATATGTGTTACCTCGTATAATTGTTTTGTGGTGAGAACATTTATAATCAACTCTCTTAGCAATTTTCAAGTATATAATATGTTGTTATTAATTGCAGTTAACATGATGCACAATAGATCTGGTACATAAACCAACATCTCTCCCACCCTCTAACCCCTGCCTTTGGTAACCGCCATTTTACATTTTGTTTCTATAATACTATCCCCTCTTTAAAAGACTGGAGCTTTAAACAGTTTATCCTTAAAAATAAGATGAACATACTCTAGCTACAGATTATCACTGCAGTCCCCTTGTGATCGATGTCCTCTATAACGTAAAGGAAAGCTCTAATTGTGTCATCTGTGGTCATCCTAAAGAATTAAAGTAGACAGTATATATACTAGGATTCAAATTCACTTGGCCAAGCTGGGCTGCCTAGCTGCTGTTGCTCCTCCCACCAAAGGAGATGCTGAGACCCACGAAGCATCAAGGTTTATGCGTTTGTAAAAAAGGAACAAACCATTATCTACAAGGAAGGCATGGCCAGCCTTACAACAGTTCACTATTAGGTCCCAAATAAGTCATCTAGTGAATATTCATGCTCGGTTATAAACTTCTTCCCTCTTTATACTTCATCCACAACATAGATAAGAGAAAATGAGAATGCAGATTATGTGGCAATCACTCACTGATACTCAGCATCACCTCTCCTTTATTCCCATTATATATTCAACCTAAAAAGAGAGGGAATGGGGAGAATAACATCTGAATCCTCATATATTGCCACCTTAACAAGCCCAGTTGTAAGCTCACACCACCAGCCTAATAGAGTCTCCCAGACAGGCACAATCTGAGGTCCAAGTAACAGCATAACAAGTACCTATCATTCTTTTCCTCTTCTAAAAATTCCTTTCATAAAAAGTGTCGACTAATACAAAAGATCATTTAAGGGAACTATACTGAAAAAAAGTCAAATGAGAGTTGCAAAGTTAGAGGTTAGACAGATGGCTTTCGCCCCTCTAAATGTCAACCTTGGTCAAGGTCAGGTGAGGAGAGTGGAATAAGCTAGCTGCTAGCACATTGCCCAAACCCTGGGAAATAAGTCTAGGCAGAGACAGAAAGGAAAGGATGTGAGCTAAAAAGAACTTTCCTCTCTTTCCTACACCCAAGCAGCAAGCATTTGTTTGCTTCTGTTTCAAACACATACACACAAAAAAATTTTAGTCCTAGAAATTACAAGTTTGATAGCCTGAATAAATAGGCCAATAGGAAGATAGTAATGGATTCCAGGTCTCCTAGGGACAAAAGTGGGTGCTATTGCCCCATCTTGGTCCTGCCGAACCCTAATTCCCCATACCTGGGGTAGGGGAATACCCTATGAATCTGCCAATCAGAACTTAGTAGCGCAGGAGCTGCAAAAGAATGTAGAGGACGCTGCAGCCCACAAGCCAAGCAGCATAGGTACCATGAAGTCTGGACAGTGACCTAGAATTCACAAGAGCAGTAAGACTCAGGTCATGCAGCTTCCCAACTGTCCAATCAAAATGGTTCTATGGTGACATTTGAACCATGAGGGAGGTCCCTATCCGGGCAATATAAAATAAGACGCAAACCATAGCCAACCCCTTTTTGTGACTTTCCTTTTGCTCTCCCTTTGCTATAACAATGGGTCTGGTTGTCATCTGTGGTGTATGTATCATGCTCTGTAAACCTGTATCTTGTTCTTGAACTTTAATCCTATTTTCCTTTCCTCAATAAACCGCATTTTCATGCTTGCCTAACTTTGGGTCTGGTCACTCTTCAGCCATTAGCATACCAAGCACTGACATTTCAAACTAAAACCTTACACATTGTCTGTAAAATAAAGTTGAGACTATCACCTAGAAAAAAAATAGAAAAATACAGATATTTAATCCAACCAACTCATTTTCCAGGTCAAGTTTCTGAAGCTTAGGAAGATCTTGGAATTTATCCAATTTAACTGTGTTAAATCACAGTTAACACAGTTAACAATTTAACTGTGTTATAAAGCAAGACCAGAGCCAAGGTTTTGGCCCTCTATCTCAGGGTCTTTCCATCACAATAGGGTCTTCTCCATGTTTTCTGAAAGCCCTATCATATTATATTTCTATTTTATTATTTATATACAACAGATCATTCTGAGCATCCTATTTTTTCATGTATAACACTGCTGTCATTTTTCTTCACCTAAGAGTAAAGAGTCAGGGCCTTAGCAGGAAGAGGAAAAAAATTAAAGAGTTTGTCTATACCTAAACAGTCTGGAGGGGTGAGGTCATCCTGAACTACTTCTCCATAGACTGAAAAACACAAATCCCATAGAGAGGAAGTTAAAATAAAATTCATTTCCCCTATATACTCATAGAGACCTTTTAGATTCACAAAGAACAAAAGCAAATAACCATAGACTTGTCAGAAATTCCATTCCTTTGTTTCATATGATAATTAGTGCTTTCATTGAAAACACTCTGAAATTACTGAGGAGCTTGCCCTACTCTCCCCAGAAAATACACCTCAGAAGTGTTTTTTAAAAGCCCAGTTTCGATGCGGAGAGAGAGGAACCCTCCTACACTGCTGGTGGGACTGCAAACTAGTTCAACCTCTGTGGAAAGCAATATGGAGATACCTTAAAGCAATACAGTGGATCTACCATTTGATCCAGCAATCCCATTACTGGGCATCTACCCAAAAGATCCAATGACACTCTACAGAAAAGACACCTGCACTCGAATGTTTATAGCAGCACAATTCATAATTGCAAGGCTGTGGAAACAGCCCAAGTGCCCATCAATACAAGAATGGATTAATAAAATGTGGTATATGTATACCATGGAGTACTATTCAGCTCTAAGAAACAATGGTGATATAGCACATCTTATATTTTCCTGGTTAGAGCTGGAACCCATACTACTAAGTAAAGTATCCCAAGAATGGAAAAACAAGCACCACATATACTCACAAGCAACTGGTATTAACTGAGCAGCACCTAAGTGGACACATAGTACTACAGTAACTGGGTATTGGCAGGTGGGAGGGGGGCGGGGGGCGGTATATACATACATAATGAGTGAGATGTGCACCATCTGGGGAATGGTCATGCTGAAACTCAGATTTTGTGGGGAGGGGGGGAAAGGGCATTTTTTGAAACCTTAAAAGTTGTACCCCCATAATATGCCAAAAGAAAAAAAAGAAAAAGAGCCCAGTTCACCCAGACACCCAGATAACCAAAAGTTAAAAGCAGTAAGAGTGACCATGTTTTCCAGGGACTGTGAAAAGGGCTCAAGATAATAAAGAATTTGCAGATACTAAAGAACTCTTTTTTTTTCATTATCTATACATTCAGTTAATATTTGTTGATGTTTGTTTCTGTTATAGACATGTGATATCTATAATATTTACTGAGAAATCAACTTTTACTGTGACAGATTTTATCCCAAGAAAATTTTGGGAAATAGTGTGGCATAATAGCCTATACTTTTGGGGTCAAAAATACCCTTGTTTCAAATTCTAGCTCAGCCACAATTGTATGAACTTGAGAAAATTACTTAACCACTGCATCTTTTGGGGGGGATGGGAGGAAGGACTTGATTTTAAGTTTACAAAAAGAAATGATAATTGTTTCCCAAGTATGTAGTAAAGATTAAATAATGATATATACAGAAGCTCTGTGCCTGAACTAAAAAGATACCCAGGGGGTGTCAGCTTCCTTTGGTGAATGCAACCTTTTCTCCCTTCCCTACCAGGAAATAAGATCAACTTGTCAATTTACTGGAATTTGTTTTAATTTTTAATCTCCCACTCTGCCCTACACATACATCACTGATTCTATAAAGAATTTTTTAAATATGACCCCTACTGTAGCAAATTGAGCCAAGTGGTCTTTCCCAAGGGCTTTCAAAAAACAAGACCAAAAAACAAACAAACAAACAAACAAAAAAAACCCACCAGGCACCAGGTCTTAGCTTTCAGATTACTTTAACATGTTTATTTTATCTGCAATCAAATTTGCCAGTCTGGGTATACAGAGACCACTAGGCAAACCAACAGTATGAATACAGGCAGTGGGGCAAAGAGGAAACAGGATGTCTGAGGCTAGTTTGTGCCACTGGGGATCTTCAAGGCCCAAAGCCCTGAGAGCTGCTTAGAGCTTTTGGGTTTGTTCTCTTAACTGGCTTCCTCCCTGCCCACATTCTCTGTCTCTGGCAGTCAAGGAATATCCCTGTCACTGCCAACACCTTCTAAATTTAGGCAGCTGGGAGGAAAGAAAAGTGTCTCTGATACATCTACTTTGTTTTCTGGATAACTGAATTCAAAGAGGAGCTTTAAGCTGCTCATTAATTGACCTCTATCTTCTAATGTATTTTATATACTAGCACAATGATGTGAAAAAACAGGGGCACCATTTTCATCACAATAGATATATTTGAAAATAAAAAATAAAAAAATTAAAAAAAAAAAAACAGGGGCACCAGATACTATCAAAATAAGTAATAAATAACCTTCAGGTTTGCAGAGATTACCTAAAGAAATGAAATAATTAATAAACAACTTCAACATCTATTTATTCTGGGGATAACTTTTTCACTCAGATCTTCCTTTATATTCACATAAAGGAAGTGTTTTGTTCTCCACTTTCCTATCTGCAGCAGAATTCCATTTTATTGTTGCTACTAGTTTCTGCTTTATAATAGGGGAAGTGAAATGATAATGATTGAGTACTGAACTCAAAATTCTTACAGTGCAGCTTTTTCTACTTAATCTATTTCTCCTTTAAAAATCCTCTCCACCTTCACCATATCCTCTCCTTCAAATGCTTACACTTAACTTCTGAAGTCTTATTCCACAGTTGAACCTAAATTTTATCTCAGGACTTCCTAATTCATAATTTCCTTCCTTTCTAACGACTTCGACCATTATTACTTCTTTTTCCTGTCATTCAACACTGCAGAATTAATGGAAATGCACTTCTTTTTGAGAATCTTTCAGTGAAAATCCAAAAAGAATACTGCTTTTTAAAAAAATTTTTTGATAGATTTTATCTTAATGATACAGAACTGCACCCAGGTGCTATTTACTTTGTCATCTTACAGTTAAATAAATCATGAACACAGAAAGGTCAATATTGCCCACTTCAGCATCAGAGTTTGATAAACACAAGTAGGAAGGAAAAGCCATATGAAGAAAGGTGAAGAGATTCATATAGAAGGAAAAGGCAGTAATATGCAGGTGGATACGCATGCTTACATACCTGCAAGAGTTAGTAATGTGTGTTGAAATTTTTTAGCAGCAGTGGACCAATATCTACCAAAGCTGGAATATTCATCTTGAACTAAACACTGCCCATTATACACTTGTGACATAATAAATCTCAAGGGGCTCACAGAAAGTTACTGACACTAGACAATTCTCTAAGGCAGTGGTGTGCTTTGCTTAAGAGAACATACATATTCTACTCCATGCTGGAGGGATACTCAGTACTCTAAAGGAACATGGGTAAAGGAGTAATTAATTCTGCCTGGTGTATCAGAAAGTTTGAGGAGTTTCATTCATTCTGTCTGGTGTATCAGAAAGTTTGCCATGAATTAAAATACTTATCTGGATGAGGATTACAGACAGGGGAGCTGCATGAGTAAAGATACAGAGATATGAAGTCTGTGTGTGGTCACGGATGTGTGAGATCAGGTCTCATGGAGAGAAGTTCTTGAAGATCAGGCAGGAGAGACAGAATGGGGCAGTTTGTTAAAGGCTTTGGAGTTTCAACTTCATCCTTCAATGAGGAAAGGACAGCAAAGCTTTTGAAACAGAGAGATGACACAACTCTCAGAAGCAAGCTTGAATCAGGAAAGTACAGGGGAACTCATTCTTTTCTTCCTTCACACACTTGTTCAAAAATTACTTTTTTGTACCAACTATTCTAAATACTGGGGATACTGAGTTAAAAAAATTTTTTTAAAGCCATGGGCATAGTCCCTGCTATGACATAACTTACAGTGTGGCAAGAATAATAGTCAATGAATAATTACAAAAATTTTAAAAAATCATAATATTCAATTGGGGAGCTGTTAGGAAGAGTGCCAGGGAAAGAGCAGAAAAGAGGGCCAGGCACAGCACTAAGGAAGACTTCAGAAAGAGGTACACACATGACACTTGCTGATCAACTGGAAGTGCAGAAAAGAGAGGATGGTTCCCAGATTTCCAGCTTGTACACTGGGTGGATACTGGTACTGTTAAACAAAAAAATAAGAACAAAACAAGGAAAGAAAAATCCACTTTATAGCCAATTCATTTTGGGTCAGAAAGAGCCTTAAGTGCTGAGTGGCATTCAGGTGAAGGTGACCGGTTAAGTTGCACCAGAAGTTGTACCGGAAGGACTGCAACTCAGGAGAATCCAGGTTGGAGAGAGATTTGGAAAAAGATTCTTTCAAGGAAAAAGTGCATAACATGTTAATGGTAACTGAGGAAAAAAGATAACTTCAGATAATCTATTCTAAGTCCATGCCAGTAGCTCTGAAACTGTAGTCCTCAGACCAGCTGCATCATCATCTGAAACTTATTAATGCAAAGTATGGGGCCCCACTCAGGACTTACTAAATTAGAAACTCTGGGAGTAGGCATTACAATGTGTTTATAAAGTCTCCAGCTAAGTCTGATGCACACCCAAGTCTGAAAGCTTGCCTATCCTAAATATTTTTTTTAAATAACTATCTCATTTTACCTGTTGGTTATATTTAGCAGAAAAACCTCCCGGGGTTACTGCTTGTTTGCCTGCAGAGTCCTCTCATCCAGACAATAACGTGTGTTGAATATCTAATCCATGCAAAGTGTGATGTGGGAGTAGACAGAGACTAAAGCATACAATACGGTGCCTGCCAACAAGAAACTTTGACCTGATTGAGAAGATAATGTACACATTTGAAAAGTTAAACAAGGACACAAGTAGTACAGTTCAACAGGAGTAACAGGTGAGAATTTAAGTGCTAAGTAAACAATACGGACAAGTGCCATGAGCTAGGGGAACATTGGAAAGCAGGAATTAGAGCTACAATAAACCTGGAAGGCCAAAGTTAGAACTCTGGTATGAACGAACTTTCAATAAGATCAAAAACCCCTAATTCATACCGCGTCCCTCTAAAAAGGTTTTCTGAGCTTCAGAAAAACTTTAATGATATACTCAAGGTGAGAAAGACTAAAAGTAAATTCCAGTTGGGCAAATAAGTAACTGCCAAAAGAGGGAATGTGAACGACCTGGGCCCAAGGGTATTGCTGTGCTCTGGTATGCATCAGCTTCAGCACTAGGAGTGATCTGACTGAAGGTCAAGTTCTCTTTTAATGTGCTTTATACTAATATATCCAAAGCTATCTGCAATTAGCAAAATGCTTCCTAAGCAGCATTGAAGAGTAAACTGGTCCAGTTCTGAATCATTCATTCCCTAGCACTTATGCAGGAGCTCAGCGGTAAGTGTTCTCAGCTCTTCAGGGATTGGATGCAGGAAAAAAAAAGAGCAGTGGGGCCGGCCGGAGTTCTCCCTAAGTATGCATGACACACTGTAAAGCTCAGAACTATTGTTCAATACCAAGGAAGAGGCTCACTCGATTACTCGGACGGCCGGGGTAAAGACTCGGTTCTCTGGCCCAGTACTCAGTTCCTAGAACTGCCGACAGGAACCCCGCCAGAGTGTGACCTTACCGACAGTGCGTAGGACAAAAAGACACATCAACCAGCAATCCACCGGGAGAGTGCCTCCGTCCGGATGCCACTTGGTGGAGAGGTGGGGGTAGGGCTGAACAGGATTTTCAAAAGGCTTGAAAGACCCTAACCCGGAGCCGAGAATCCTCAAGAGAAGGGGCATCCGCTAACGAACCATGGACCGCAAGCCAACCATAGACAGACCTCGACTGGCTTCCCAGCCTGGCCAGCAAAACGCCTCGGCGAGCGCTCCCGTCTGCGGTGAGGGGAGGATGGGGAGCGGCTTTCCGCCCCCGCCGCGACCGCCTCCCGCCCCCTGGGCGGTGAACGCGCCAAGCAGTGGCTCCTCGCCCCGGATTCTGGGCCTCTATAAGCACCTAGCCCCCTCCCCCCAGGTCCCCATAGAGGGTGAGGGGCGCAAACCTGCCCTCTGCCGCCTTCACCCCGTCCCCAACGAAAGCCGGCGCTCCCCCCGCCCCGGCAGCCAGACACCCTTCCCATGGGAGGCGCTGCAAGGACTGGAGGCTGCCGGCTCCATGGAGACGCGGGCGAGCCCGAAAGGCGCAGCAAAGGCGTCCTCCCGCCCCTTTCAAGCTCTTCTTTGCGGCTTATTGGCGTCTTCTCGAAGTCGGTCATCCGAAGGGGTGGTTAAACCAGGAAGGCGTCGGCGCACCTCCGTGCCCCGGGCACCGCGCCATTTTCTGCAGTAGGCTAGCAGGATTGGTGTGGCACATGGAACGCGGCACACTCGGGGTTCGTTCTCTCCTTCTTACCTTTTTTCCTCTTCTCCCGACCTATTACAAGAGCCCGTTAGCCGCGGGCGGAGGCGCAGAGCCGGAGCCTGGCGTTGCCGCCATCTTTCGGAAGCGGGTTTTTTTTTTGAGTATTCGCGGCGGGCTGGCCGCGGTTTTGTATCTGAGCCTGTCAGTGCGCCCTGCCCTGGACGCCGCGAGTCTCTGAGCAGGGAAGGCGCGCCGGGGGCGGGCTGGAGGCTCGACCGTGCGTCGGTGACGTCCTCGGGGCCTCGTGCGCTGCGCGCCCGCCACCCACTGGCATCTGCTAGTTTATAAATAAGTGAAGCTGGGAGGGGCCCGCGGGGGCGAGTGGAGGTTCTTTGGGCAGCCTGGGCGAGTCGTCTAGGTTCCCAGCCCCGAGGCTCTGGTCGCTCTCCCGGATCTCTGCATGCGCTTGCAGCCCCAGCCCCCAGGCCAATGGGGCTAAAGTATCCGTCTTCCCCTAGGGCGCCAAGAAGTTTTGGCCTAGGGTTCAGGGCCCAGAGGGTCTCCCTCGGGGCTTGTTGCTTTTCCAAGTCATAGTGTGGCAAGTTTGTGGACTGCCTCGGGGCATCTCCTCAAGACCCTCTGCTTTTCTTACAGCGCTCTCATTTCTAACATTTCTCAGCCCATTCCTCCCCGCACCACCACTTGGCCTAGGCTTATGTAGAGAGAGTTTGCTGTGAGAACCTACCATGAGCTATCTGCCAGGAGGTGTGACCAGCCAGGCCTGCAGAGGGACAAGATTAGCACTGGACCTCTGTGACCAAAGTTTAGCCCACCTCCCACTTCTTCCCTATCATCCGTGCATGCGTGTTCAGAATCTTTCTGACGCTGGAAACCCAGCAAACCAAGAGATTGTTCAGCAGATGTGAACATAAGGTGTATATCCCTTTGACCTTAGGCAAGGTACATAACTTTGGAAAGCCTCAGTGTCCTCATCTGCAAGTTAGGATTGCTTGTAATGTTCAAAACTGTCAAAAGATTTATGTTTATATGAGATAAATCATGCAAACCTTATGAGCACTCAGTAAATGTTAGGCACTGTTGTAAATTTGTTCCAGTTGCAGTGGTGGATTGGCATGGCTTATATATACTCTCCAAGCCTTATCTTTTGTCCAATCTTTGAGGACATGAGCCAAGTCGGATTTCTTCAGAACCATCCAGACCAGGTGGAAGCTCAGTAACATTTTATTTTATTAAGTCCTGAGAATGTGGCTGTTAGTTTTGAACTAAAGCAAAGCAAACGAGAAAATTAAATGAGATTTTCGCTTCTTTAGCAAATACACTAAGGCAATAAACAGCACAGTTTAAAGTCTGTCCATGAAAGCATTTGCCCTTTTATGGTATTCTTTTAACTCTGAACTCTTTCTCTTTCCCTGTGAATATTATAATTTTAGTCAAAATCAATGAGGGAATAAAATACCAAGTTATACTATCCAATTACATAGGAGAAATTATTTCAACACATTTTAAGAAGTTGGATTGAGGAGAAACTCAAGTTTTAGAACTAAAGTCCCATAACTAGTGCTAATTCAGCATATAGCAGCTGGTGTACTGCACCTTACAGAATGTAAAAAAGCAAACATTCCTATTGGATCCGATTTTCCACTTTTGCCCTTGTCCCTCTTCTACAGAGCACATGAAATGGAAAAATTGCATTGGCAACTTTGTCAATGGTCACATGATTCATTCTTGGCTGGTCTCACTCTCTTGCTCCTGGCTGAGGAAGACAGACATTTTAAGTCTTGTGTTCTGTGTGACTAAGTCTGTCATGAAAAAATCAGCCTCATTACTGTATGGCCAAACACACTGTAATGTATTTTTGATGACTATGACCATTTTATACTTTTAAAACAATGTATGAATATCTTCAACTTGAACAAATTACAAAAAAAGTTCATGTATACAGATTTCCCTTCTAGTTCCACAAAGCCATTTCAATTTTAATCTGTATGTAAAATTCTTCTTTTAATTATCTCAACTTTTCTGAACAAGTAAGAACATTTCCCTGTTGCTTTGAAGGGCAGTTTGTGTCAAATGTATCATATTCTGGAGACTTTTCCTTTTGAAATCTTATAAAGCTTAACTTCCATATTGTTAAAACCTGGGAGAATTGAATTTAAAGCCTTAATTTTTTTTGTAGAGACATGGTTTTGCTGTGTTGCTCAGGCTGGTTTCAAACTCCTGGCCTCAAGTGATCCTTTGCCTCAATTTCCCAAAGTGCTGGCATTATGGATCTGTCCATAAAAGCATTTGCCCTTTTATGGCATTCTTTTAACTCTGAACTCTTTCTTAAGCCACAGTGCCTGTCCTAAATTCAAAACATTTAAACAAAAGGTCTGATTCCAGACAAGCAATGAGGAAAGTTTATTTTGTATTGTTATGACTTACATGTGTATGTGTGTATATGTGTATAGTCATGTGCCATATAACCATGTTTTGCTCAACAATGGGCTGCATGCATGATAATGATCCTATAAATATAATAACATAATTTTACTATAGCTTTTCTATGTTTAGGTGTTCAGATACACAAATATTTACCATTGTGTTCTAAATTGCCTACAATTTTTAGTACAGTAATATACTGTACAGGTTTATATTAATAGCTTAGGAGCAGTAGGCCATGCCATATAGCCTAGGTATGTAGTAGGCTATGCCATCTAAGTTTGTATAAGTATACCCTATTATATTCACACAGTGATGAAAACACCTAATAATCACATTTCTCAGAATCTCCATCATTAAACAACACATGAGTGTATGTTTGGCACCTTTTTGTCAGATAAATGCAGATAATGTGTCAGAGTTGATTAGATTGTAAATCATCATTCTCTGAGGGATTTCATTTTAATTCTCGTAAAATATCATGCATTGGCATCTCTCATTATTAAAAGAAAAGACATCCTGCCTTCGCAGATGACAGTGTACTTTTCCCGGTTGATAATGAGGGACATTTGAAGACTTGTTTCGCAAATGTTGTTCGACTGGCTTAACTAGTAATAAGAATTTTTAATTAGGTCATTTGTGTAACCATAAAATGCATGCATGCTTCATTTCATAACAATCATCCTTTAATATATGAAGAACAAATTCCTTCAGATGATTTTCCTCTGGTAGGTTTGAAAAACATAAATCTGAAAGTTTACATAAATCTGTAAATCTATTGTTTTGTAATCTATTGTTTTTGTAATGTTTTAATTTGTCACTTTTAAAGCTTATTTTCATAGAGCCTTTGAAGCATTCCCTTGTATTAATAAATATGTATTTAATATTTGTTCAATAAATAGATAAAAAATAAATTGAATTTTTCTTAAAATGTAGTTTTCTCAGGAAAAAAAATAATAAAATACATGCATGAAACAGAGAAAGCTCAACTCCTGGAATGAAAATGAAAATTACGCTAAGGTACTGAGGAAACCTGAAGAAACAAAACACACTAGAATGATCTTGTATACATTCAAGCCTGATCATGTTACTTCTGCTTAAAACCTTTTAGTGGTTTTTCCCATTGACTTTGAGATCCAAAGTCCACAATTCATAACATGGCATAGAAGGGGATCATCTCTCCTAGTGTTCCTCTTCCCCACACATCTTTTTTCTATTCCAAACTGTATGTGCTTCTTGATTTTTACATGATGAATTTGCACAATCTCAGATCAATTGTTGATAGAAAGTTGATACATGGATTATGTAGCCATGCTGCTATGGTTCAAATTTCAGCTCTGCTATTCTCTAGTTATGTGGCCTCCTGTGATGCAAAGAAGAGCTTGCAGAATACCAAGATATAAGCTGATATCTAGATCAGTAGCTGTACTATTCAGGTGTAAAAAGAGTATACCTTGTGAATTTATGTATTTTCTCAAATGCTTCCTTAATCTGTTCTTGCTGCTATAATAAAATACCTTGGACTGGGTAAGTTATAAGCAGAAATGTATTTCTCACAGTTATGGAGGCTAGAAAGTACAAGATCAAGACACCAGCAGATTACATGTGCTAAAATTAAATTGGCCTAAAGTTGCCTCCATATTTTGAATACCTACATATTGAACTCCAAAACCTAACTTAATATGTAAACAAACTGCAGCCTAACTTAAGTGTATATTCTTGTAACACTGGTAACAAGATAATTGAGTCTCAGCCAATTACAGACTGCCAACTGATCAGACCATGTCCATATAAGGCAAATGCCAAGCTATAACCAATCAAGCTGTTTCTATAAATCATTTCCATTTTCTGTCTATAAATAATGCCTGGCTACATTGCTGGGTGGAGCTGTCTGAACTTCTACTAGTTCAGAGTGATGCTCAATTCATGAATAATTCTTTGCTCAAATAAACTCCGCTAAGTTTAATTTGTCTAAAGTTTTTCTTTTAACAGATGTCTCTGAGGACCTGTTTCTTATAGATGGTGCCTTCTCTACATCCTCCCATGGCAGAAGATGTAGAAGGGATAACAGCTCCCTCACACCTATTTCATAAGGGCACTAATATCATTCATGATACTGTTGTCAAATCACAAGGAGGTTTCAATCTAGGTCTAGTTCCTCGTCACACAAAGATCCAATTATTGAGACAATGAAGAATGTCAAGGAAGAAAGGAATTTTTTAATATGATAGATGTGTGGAAAATGGGAGAAGCTGCCTCAAATCCATCTCTCTGACTAACGGAGATCATGGGCTTTTAAAGGGGAGGCCATGCACCTCGGGAAAGATTGTGGTGTAACTAAAAAGGGGCTAAGTGCATTGGGGGAAGTTTGTAGGGGATGGTGAATCTTGTCAGGATTCACCAGGGGGCTTTAGAATATCAG